GCACATTTTGAAGAATCACATTTGAAAAACTGTCCCTACTTTTGCAAAAAAAAAAAAAAAAAAAGCCCCAAACATTACACTCTTGAGGTAGTTTTTGATATTTTTTTCTAAAAAGAGTTAATGAGCTTCATGGGAGATGGAAACACCTTTTCTAAAGGAGTTCCGACATAGTGAACGTTGAATTCACATGACTGATAAGCTATTTCTCCTTTTTTTTTATGGACTTTGCCTCCAGACACCAATAGCTACAGCTTTACAGACTGAAAACAAATCCTGAAGAATTTCTCTCCATTTATCTTCTGAACACAGATGACATTCTGTAAATATTTTTTTCCGAGTTAGAAAACAACTGTTTTTGCTTTTATTACAGCTGTTTATTACAGCCTGATAGCGCCACCTTCTGATGACAATACCCAGCCTACTTAGTTCAACACAAAGCAGTTAATGTAAAGATAACTTGTTTCTTTTTTTTGTTGTAACATTTCAAAAGTTATAATTTGCTTGACAATTATATGGAACCATGTCTGCCATAGCATATTAATATTTGCTTTGTTCACATTTAAAACTCTGGCATACTGTTAAATGTGGAGAGATTTACCTGGATCTGACTCAATCAAATCAAAAACAAATCAAATCAAGTTTGTTGTCATTTTGTTGTGCATACACAGTAGTACAGGCAAGATGAAAGGGTGTTTCTTCAGGATCCAATAACTAAAAGCAATTTAAATAAAGAAGTGTTTGCATATCTGGATCAGCAGTTCAGCATTCTGACAGCTACTGGAATGAAGCTGTTGATCATTCTGGAGGTTCTTCCTTGAATGCTCCGGAAATGTTTGCCTGATGGCAGCAGTTCAAGCAGTTTATGGAGAAGGTGTGAGGAGTTCTTGACAATTTCCAGAGCCGCTGCAGAAGCGCAACGCTGAACAACCTCCGCTGACCCTCTCAGCTCTTCTATCATTTGCAGGGCTTTACTGTCTGACATACTGCAGCTGGAGTACCATGTTGAGATGCGGTATGTCAGAATGCTCTCCATCACACCTCTGAAACAAGCCTCTCTCTCTGCCAGCATCCTCAGGAGTTTTTACAGCTTCCTCAGGAAATGTAGTCTCTGCTGGGACCGTTTGATGAACGCTGCGGTGCTCAGGTCCTGCAAGAGCTGCACTCCGAGGAACTTGATGTTCTCCACTCTCTCCACTGTGCAGCTGCTGATGCTAAGGGGAGCATGCTCAGGACATGACCTTCGGAAGTCGATGATCATCTCCTTCGTTTTGTCCACATTGAGCAGCAGATTGTTATTGGTAGTCTGCATTTTGTAGAACTTGTGTAATGTAACAGATACTATCTATATACAAATCCTGCACTCCAGCTTTAATTTACAGATGTGTAACTTACCGAATTTCTTTTTTTTCCAACCCTGCTTTGATTTGTAATAGATCTTCAAAGAAATATTTCAGACATGAAGTATAAATGAACACACTGACTATGGTTAATTATAAAATAACTTCATTTTAATCAAATGCATTCAGCAGTACGATAAATCAGTTACACTGAGGCCAGCAATCACACTGTAAAGCCATAAAAGAACCAAAGATATTCACCATAGATTAGATCCTATTAAGACATAGCTAACATGTTCAATGACTAGTTTGTTCTGGAACTCCATAAAAAAAATTACTAAATCTGAAAAAATTCCCACCTTTCTCCCTAACAATCAGCTGATTTAAAAAAAAAAAATCTACAATAAAATATCTCCATATAAACCTTAAAGCAGGATTCAGATAATAACACTGCTTTTCATTAAAATGTGCCACAACAGCTCTCATTGGACTGTTTTTTAAAATTTTTTTTAGCTTTAATATATGTGATAAACTATGCAAAATGCTACCTTCATGCTATGAATAATGTCTGAGTTACAACCCTTGATGTACATAGCAATGGGTCCAAATTTCCTACTTTTTAATTAGCATTTTTTTCTTCTATTGTTTTTAAAGGATGTTAAAAGTGATTTAATAGATATGTGTATTTTCTGCTGATTCTGAGGAGGTCAGGTGGGAGGCTCTGATTGATATTACATGAAAGAACCCTTTTTCAGTAAACGTGGAGCCAATGTAACGTGTGCTGTGTAGTTTCTGCTCAGCAGAGACTTTCTATTCCTGATCAATTCTATGTGAAAAAAAAAAAAATCTTCTGGATGTAAATCCCACCACCTTCATTCACAGTGTTGATGATAAAAAAAACCTTTCTGAAAGCTAAATATTTAAACACCTGTGTATTTTTTAAAGCTGTGATGTTGAAGTGGTTAGTAAGGAGTTTGTATATGATAGATGTGGTCTCATGTGTCTAATAATCAATCAATAGTGAATTCAAAAGGATAGTCCTGTGTGGGCACCGAGTCAAAGATGATGCTGTCGAACGGGTTCTCTGTCGACCAGATGTCCACCGGAAACCACGAGTCGTACCAGGAGGTTGTTCTCTCGGTTTCAGGTGGAGGTGTTGTTGTGGTGGTGGTTGTTGTGGTTGTGGTTGTAGTAGCAGGAGTGGTCCTGAGATTGCCTCGTAACCTCTGCAGGCGCAGCCGGCGTAAACGCATGAGTCTCAGCCGCCGGAGTCGCTCTGCGTTCTGAGCAATGGCATGAGCGTCAACACCAGTGGTGGTGCTGGGGGCGGCCGTCGTCGTTTTCATCGTGTTGGTTCTGGTGACGAGTCGAATGGGCCTCCTGCCGTTGAGCGCCATGATTTGTTTGATGCGATCCCAGTTGGACTTGGCTAAGGTGAAGCTGCAGGGTGTGGCTCCGGAATCGTAGCCCACCATGCAGAGCCTCGTCTGAGGTGTGTAGCCATCAGCCTTTGCCGTCACCCTGTACTCTCCAGGGTTCAGCAGTCGCCAGTAGTCACCACCTGTGGCTGTTGAGGAAGTCAAAGGTCAGGATCTAAAGCGAAAAACTGAAAATCGTTCGCAGAAAAAGTTCAGAGCATCTTTCCATCATACCAGTTCTGACATCGTGCCGTATTCCTTCCACAGTTACGGTGGCATTAGCCAGCGGATTTCCCTCCACGTCTCTCACTACGCCCTTTATTCCTCGATGTACCTGCACATGAAACAGGCAAATCTCACCGTAAACCTCAAAGGTAAAGGTAAAGGTTTCACATATGAACTACACTG